ATATATATATATATATATATATATATATATATATATATATATATGATTTTATATTCAATATAGTGTTAACTGATACTAAAACCCTTAAAAATGAATTTCCGTTGCTTAAAATAAAATAAACATTAACTGGAATAAAATAAAATGTAAAACACTTTTTATTTAATTTCAGCTTTTACTAATTTCAAATGTCTTAGTTTCATTTAGTAAAACTAAATAAACTAAAACTAATAAATAAAAATGAATAAATATATAGGCATATATTTATACAAATAAATTAATAAAAATAAAATCAATCAAACAAAACATACAAAATATTACTAAAAAGTATTTAAATTAAAATGAAAATATAAAAATAAAATCTAATTCAAAATATTAACAAAAACTATCATTGTATAATATTGTGATGCTAAAATAACACTAGCGAAGAAGCAGAGGCATATCAACATCTAAAATATATGCTGAAACAAGACATATCATTATGGACAAAACCAGTAAATAAAATAAAATAATAATAAATACAAAAAAATTACAATTTCTTTTGAAGCTTGTAATTTTCTTACAAAAGTAGACATATTCTGTCAATAGATTTATACAGGAATGAAAAGCTAATAGTTAAATAAATGTAAAAAAAATGTCAAATTAAAATGAATGAACATTTTTTCAATAAAATCAGTCAAAATAAAACAAAAAGTGACAGAAATCACTGAAATGAACATATCTAAACAATTGAAAATTAACTTCAAATCTCATTGGGGCCTTCAAGTAGATATTTTATGTCAAGGGTTTGACTGAGAAAACATTTAGGGATCCTTGGATGAATAAATATCTTAAAATGTAGCAACTCAAGTGATTGAAACACTTAATTTGTTCAGGATGAGATGTATTTGATGTTTATAGATGTATGTACTGCCAGTCTATGGCCATTTTCCCCTCCGCCGCAGATCTCAAATCTTATTTGCACTTGTAAACGATTAAAAATTGACACGTTTAGACGACGCAACTGCAAAAGAAACGCTTTACTTTCACAAACTCTGCTTGTTTGTCCTTTAGCTTGATATTATAAATCACCGCCCTCTTTGCTGACATTCTGTCTAACTTCTCCATTTGTGTTTCCCTGAAGAAACAAATACTGCAGGCTTGAAGTAAATTATGCCAGAGTAATAATTTTCCTTTGAAATATGCCTTTAATATGCATGGTTGGCAGGGAAAATGCACAAACGTTTTGTCAATGGTCTAATCAGAGTTGGATCACTTAAATGCAACCCTTTGATCCTCCAGATCCGAACGTCTCATCATGCATTTGTTGTTTTTAAATGCCATACACAGATTAAAGCACGCTTGAATGATTCTGTGCTCCACAGCTTGTTTATAAAATAGAAATAAAAGTACAAAATTAAATTAACGTTAATTTAGGATAATTGGGCCATTTTGGATTGGGATACTTTTATTATTATTATTTCTATTATATATTGTTTTTATTTTATTATTTCATAAAACTTGTAATCTGATATAAACAATGACAAACAAAGTAACAGATTAAACTAGTTGGTCTTCCTGCCAATGGTGTAAAAATTATTTTAAATGTTACATTAATGAATTAGTGCTGTCAAAATGATTAATTGTGATTAATCGCATCCAAAATAAAAGTTTGTGGTGTGTGTACTGTGTATATATAAATACAAATGCATGCATATATATATTATTAACAAAAACTATCATTGTATAATATTGTGATGCTAAAATAACACTAGCGAAGAAGCAGAGGCATATCAACATCTAAAATATATGCTGAAACAAGACATATCATTATGGACAAAACCAGTAAATAAAATAAAATAATAATAAATACAAAAAAATTACAATTTCTTTTGAAGCTTGTAATTTTCTTACAAAAGTAGACATATTCTGTCAATAGATTTATACAGGAATGAAAAGCTAATAGTTAAATAAATGTAAAAAAAATGTCAAATTAAAATGAATGAACATTTTTTCAATAAAATCAGTCAAAATAAAACAAAAAGTGACAGAAATCACTGAAATGAACATATCTAAACAATTGAAAATTAACTTCAAATCTCATTGGGGCCTTCAAGTAGATATTTTATGTCAAGGGTTTGACTGAGAAAACATTTAGGGATCCTTGGATGAATAAATATCTTAAAATGTAGCAACTCAAGTGATTGAAACACTTAATTTGTTCAGGATGAGATGTATTTGATGTTTATAGATGTATGTACTGCCAGTCTATGGCCATTTTGCCCTCCGCCGCAGATCTCAAATCTTATTTGCACTTGTAAACGATTAAAAATTGACACGTTTAGACGACGCAACTGCAAAAGAAACGCTTTACTTTCACAAACTCTGCTTGTTTGTCCTTTAGCTTGATATTATAAATCACCGCCCTCTTTGCTGACATTCTGTCTAACTTCTCCATTTGTGTTTCCCTGAAGAAACAAATACTGCAGGCTTGAAGTAAATTATGCCAGAGTAATAATTTTCCTTTGAAATATGCCTTTAATATGCATGGTTGGCAGGGAAAATGCACAAACGTTTTGTCAATGGTCTAATCAGAGTTGGATCACTTAAATGCAACCCTTTGATCCTCCAGATCCGAACGTCTCATCATGCATTTGTTGTTTTTAAATGCCATACACAGATTAAAGCACGCTTGAATGATTCTGTGCTCCACAGCTTGTTTGAATCTAGATGACGCCACTCGGGCCTCGTACTCGTAAAATCTAAACAGCAGAGACAAAAAAAAGCAAAGCCATCACAGTCCAGACAAAAAACCCCAGTGTGCTTGTGCAACGGCGAGAAGAGCCTAGACTAAACAATTTAATACGGCAGACGTCAACAGAGACTCGACTCGCTCCGAAACATGTGAGCAGCTGCTTGGATTTACAGCACTGAGATTTCTGTGTTTTCTTAGCATCAGATGTACGAGTCTAACAGATCCTGACACTGCTATTTGGGATGAATCCGCTGGGTTATAAAACGTCTCCTCGGGCTCAGCTGTGGTGGGACGGTGCGAGAGGGGTCGTAAACTTGCGCCCCTTGCTGGGTCCCGGTGGGGACGAGCCCTGTGATGTCACCCCCCTCCGAGAGGCCTGAGGTGGGCTCAGTATCCAACCGTCAGGAGACAATTTAATAGTGTATAATGATAACAACGTAGAGCAGCCAATGTAAATAATGTAAATTGTAAATGTAATAATAAAATATTTAGTTCTGTAAAAATAATTCACTTAAAACAGAAACATTTTATTTGTTTATTTAAAAATGTACTATTTTTAAAATGGCTTATTTAAAATACAAATGCATTTAAATACTTGTATATATATAAAAAATGTATTTATTAGTGGTCGACTGATACTGTTTTTTGACAGCCGATGCCGATATCTTAGAGAGCCGGGTGGCCGATATATATTAGCCGAAGTATATATTTTTATTATAATTTATAATAATAATTTTTATTTATTTTAATTAATGCTTGAGAAATTTGAAATAATTCGAAAATTAATTATATTAAAAATAAGTGTGTAAAATAAACATACTTATACTTTAGATGAAAACTTCCTGATTCTGTAATCCTATTACAGTATTTTTCACAAATAAAGAAATATTTAAAAATATATAAATAAAAAGTAAGTAAACACTGTAACAAACAGGGCACTCTGGGAATCTGGGAAGTTTGTGTGCAGTGGGATTAATATTTTTTCAACTAAAGCCAAGGTAACACTCATTTTACATACAGCGCGCAGTAAAAATGGCATGAATATGGCAGTGGGCAAATGCATAAAGCGCAGCATAGTTTGAAATCACGAGTTTAAAGTTTAAGCTGAAGTTGAACTCTCCTCCTGTCCGCATTCAATTCGCACGGACCGACCGTCACGCAGAAAGCACGCGATCATGCAGGATACAAATGCACACTTCACAAGAATCACAACTAGATTCCACTAAGTCTGCAAGGTCTGTGGAATTAAATGTTTATTAGACATTTGTTTGAATGATATAAATGCATATTTGCTGAATACTGACGGTAAAAGAGAAAGTATTATAATGTTTGCCTTTATATTACTAATAATATAAAAGCAATTGTTATAATACTTTTTGTATACATTTGAATTCATTTGTTCAAAAGTCTCGAACATATCAGCCAAACAGAAAAAATTATAGACCGATGTCAATATTTGAAAAATGTCAAATATCGGCCTTGGCGATATATCGGTCGACCACTATTTATGTATTGAGGCCTGATGTGGGGTCGACTGTCATCTAACCATCAGAAAAAGAAAAAAAAAAACATTAAATTGGGTATAATGAGAAAAATTTAGAGCTGTCAATGTGTAAAAAATTTTTTTTATTTATCTATGTAAAATATTTTATTTAAAATATAAATGTTTAAAATGTATTATATAACTATATATCACTATATCTGTACTATATATTTAAATGTACTATATTTAAAATGATTTATTTATTTAAAATGTGTTATTTATTTATTTAAATGTGTTAAATATTTATTTAAAAATGATTTACATATTTACTTATTTAAAATAAGTAAGGTGAGTCATATCACCTCTTGTTTTATTTACTAAAATTATTTATTTAACAAAATAATTAAGTATTAATTAAGTTAATTAAAAATACATAAATGAAATGTAATAAAATAAATAAAATGCAAAAATCAAATTAGCAACTCTAGTGATTGAAACACTTCATTTTTTTAATCGTGGGATGTATTTGGTGTTTTTAGATGTAATACACATTACTCTCAAATCTACATCCATTTTTCCTTCCACTGCAGCTCTCAAATAAAAAAAAAATCTATATATTTATTTGAAATAATAAAATAATTTTTAACTAATTTATTTCAACTGTTGTTTATTTAAACAAAATAAATATGCATTCGTTTTAAAAAATGAAGTTGTATATGTATTTGTGTGTGTATTTATTATTAAAATTTGCAAAATATTTAAAATGGAAAAGTGTTTATTTATTTGTTAAAAATATTTATTCATGCATTCACAATACATATATTTATTTATTTATTTATTTTAAAATCTGTTTATTTTTTATTTTATTTATTAATTTAAGTAAGTTATTAAGTTATTTATTTATACATTTATTTCTTTAAAGTAAATAATGTGTGTCACATCACCTGCTGCATCCTGAGCTTCCAGTTCAGATACCTTCTCGGATTATAAGGAAAATGGTTCTGCTTTGTAAGGGCCACGTTTTAAATGGTGTCTTTTCTGCCCCCTTGTGGTAGTATTGTACAGTGCTGCAAATGAATGACTGTCAAGAAAACCACATGCAAGCAGAAGGGTAAGAAGCATAAGATCTGCCAATCAGCCGGTAAGGAACTACGTAACAACCACTAAGAACACCCTAGCAACCACAGAACACACTTAAAACCCCTTTAGAACACCTTAGGAACCACAATGTAAACGAGTCTCTCTTTTTTTAAGAAACAAGTCACTAGGTTGGAATGACGTGGAGTTTCTCCATACGGTGTCTGAGTCCTAAAGAAGGAGTTATAATTCTATTCAGCGTCACTCTTAATCTGTGGATTTGAACAAACCCTATGTTAAATATTAAGTTGAGTATTAGCCCACATAGATCTCCCATAAATGATAAGGAGGAACAGATCTGTCACCAAATCAGCCATGAGTTTTCCACTGCGCTGGGAAGACTGATAATGGTATTATTGAGATTGATCGTAGTGTTATGGTGCATTATCAGAGTTTTGAAGGTTTCAAGAAGTTTGAATGAAGTATGTCAAGGTGTAAAGGCAAATGTGAGTTTAGGTTTCTATTAGGAGTCACACAGTCAAAATATAAAGAACTTTTTGGAAACTGAAATATAATTTAAGGATTTGTTTAAAAAATAAATAAATATATAAATCCCCCCAAAATTAGGATTATAAGGAATATAGGATTTTTTTTTTTTGTTATCAATGTTTAGTGTGCATAATCCATTATAAATTATTAATACAACATTTTGATTGTCATTTTGTTATATATAACTACAAATTTATTTACAATACATTTTTATATTTTACAATATATTATCAACGTCCATTATTTGTTTAGAGTTTTCAGAGGCATTACAGTTTTTTACGATTGCTTAAGCACAATTTTGAAAACAGGGCCCGGTTTGTCAAAACACTACACACAATTAACACAACCCTACACCAAAGTAGCACAACACTTCAGACCATTTGCAAAATGGAACACTTTTGTCAAAACTATACACAACTTTATAAAAACAATATTTTGTTACCATACGAAACACACACATTTCATATGACTTAATTTTAGTGTGTAAGCAATCGTAAAAAACTGTAAGATGCATTAAAATGTCCTCAACATTAGGGGGCGTTAGATTGACATATGAGATGTACCGTGTCCTATCCTGATGCTTCAGTCTGTGAAGCTGCTATTGACATGAACTACAGACGATTTCACGATCTCTCTCTGTCTCTCTCTCTATAAATATATATATGTATATCTGTGTATGTTTGTGTGTACATATAAAACAACTGAGTCTTAATATACAAATATTAATGAATTGTGACATCCTAAAAACAACTTGTTTGATATGTCATCAAGGTGTTTTATGTAAATAAATTGTGATATAATCTAATTCATATAATTGCTTTTTTTGTGAAATAAATTACATATTAGTTCATTGATGCTTTGGTACCATGGTACTTTGATATTTATCGTAGTTCTAAATGAATGCTATTTTCATCTACAATTGACCTATCGGTAAGCCCCGCCCACCTTAGTTACTGATACTCGCCTGCCATTGGCTCCTCTGCGTTCGAGGGGAGGGGCTTACCGATAGGTCAATTGTCTGTACAAGGTATTTGCTTCAAATAATGGTATTACCATGTTACCATGACCAAATACCAATTAAAATGTTTTATTGGTCATTTCCTATCAGTGTTGGGTGTAGTAACACATTACAAGTAACACAAGTTACGTACTCAGATTACTTTTTTTCGAGTAACTACACTGAACAAAATTATAAATGCAACACTTTTGTTTTTGCCCCCATTTTTCATGAGCTGAACTCAAAGATCTAAGACTTTTTCTATGTTCACAAATCTGTCTAAATCTGTGTTAGTGAGCACTTCTCCTTTGCCGAGATAATCCATCCACCTCACAGAGTTCCTCAAAATGAATAAAAACAGTCAAATGCAAACTCTGAATTTTATAAAAACCTGCAATAGGCCTAATTAAATATGTTAAATAAGACAAATATCATTTATGTATTTAATCCCATTTTATTGAACAATGTCTTTGCTACTGACCTTCGATGATGCAGTTCAACCATACTAAGCAAAAATGACACATTTGTGTTTCATTTTTGTTATTGCTGAATGGTGTTGAACTTTCTTCTCCTGCGTCATACTCTTCATGCAATTTGTTTGCGCTGCGCCCTCTACTGTACAGACGTGAATTTACATTTCCTTCAGCC